CTGTCTACTTTCTTCCACTTATAGTGAAATTTCACGTTAGGACAATTCCATCTAGCATTGACTCCTGAAGACGTACAATCTGCTTTGGCAACTTGAACAGTTGTAAATGCTGTGCGGCATCTTAGGAAACAAAGCAATTGAACACAAATTATTTGTTCCTTTGGAGAATTATTTTGGATCGAAGCTGCCATTTGTTCTGTAGTGACAAGTGCAGGTCCAGCATTTCTCTTTGAATTCTCTTGCAGGCTTTTATTTAAGCAATTGCAATTGCAGGATAAGGCATTCCTGGAGATTAATGACTGTCTGGGAGGGGTTGCTCTTTGGTCCATTAACTCCAACCAGTCATTAATTTCCATGAAAGGCCCTGCATGAAAGTTATTATTACTAATATGAACTGAAAATGAAAGAAATATACAGTAGGTATATTGATTTCACCTTCTCTCCCAGGATGATGCAAAGTCATTTCATTTGTATAAGGATCTTCAAGAAAAATGAAATCCTGCATATAAGCCAATCATTTGCTTTGCACTATTTTTGGCAATCTAGTCTTGCCTACACTGAAGCAATTAACTTAAAAGGAAATTAGGAGAGCAGTAGTCCCCGGGCCTAATCCAAAAGTCTTGATTCAACCAATATGTGTTAATCTTAACTATAATTTCTGTTAAACACATGTTAAAAAAAATATATTGCCCTAGTTTATACTGGACCAGAAACAGTTCAATAAGATACAGATTTTTGCCCCAGCTTTGAAGAGATATAAATTTACTATTTACTCTACTAAAATACAACTAAATTCTAAATTAACCTATGAAGGCTAAAAAACAACATTTTGTCCTAAATATATAAGTGCTTTTTAAAATGCTTTATACAATACTTATCCCTAGGAATCATCATGAAAAAAAGAAAAAAAAATATAATCGTAAAGTTGAGTTCTTTATACTTTGAAAAGTTTTTGGGCTATCAAGCATTTTAACACTTATAGGATTAAATTTATGGATAAAAAATTATATGATCTTTTATACGTGTATGTGAGAGAATAAATAAGGCTGCTAAATTTTATCTTTTCTAAATCTGCCGTGATATATTCCAATTACCTTCAATCTTCATCTTTCATCTTATAAAACATTTTATGCTTTCACCTTTTTCATTACAAAAATTACTATATGTGCTATTTGCCAGACAGGTAATTTTTAGGAGTATATGATTTTTCTCTTTTTTTAAATAAATAATAGAGATGATTAAGAGATCTGATAATATTAATGGTATATATATGTATATATACCTAAAGCATACACAAGCATGCACATATACATGCACAAATGTATAGATATGTACATATACATACATGAATATGCATATATATATTTTTTGTATGTGCACACATATACACACAATTGCACACATACATGCATAGTTATAATTGCTTATTCCAGTGTTGATGAGTAATGGATGGGGGGATGTTTTGGAAAATTATGTCCAAGGGAAGAGTTTTATCTTGAGAATTAAGGGGACTAGGGTCAAAACAGTGTAATACTGAGTGATAACAGATGAGATTTTATATACAAGTAAGACACTACTGTAGATTAAGATATGAGGGCCCCCAAGATGGAATTTGCCTCTTTAAGGTAAATGTGATGCTTAGTATACATAATTTTTCCCATTACTTATATATTGCATTGCCAACATATTTATGTTTGTTATTTCTTGTTATTATGAGTTAATAATAATGGAGACCATTTACTTAATTTTCTGCAGTGTGTGCATCATAGGTATTGAAAAGTTTATTTTTCCTATGTGAAAGCACTGTCCTTAATTCTTAGAATTCAATGCCATACATTTTCTGTCCTAAAAAATTTTATATTATAAATAGAGCATTATTATAAAATAGAATTTTAGAATTAGAATTTATTTATTCTGTCATAGGGTGATTATTGTGTACCAACCAAGTGCCTGTAACCATGCCAAGGTTGAAAGCTACAAATGAAATGAAAATATAACCACATATATCAAGGAGATGTTATTCTGGTAGAGTGGAGAAAACAAAATTTAAGCTAACTTAACAGAATCAAGGAGCATGCAAAGGAATAAGTCTATCCCATTTAAATTTTGATACATATGTGCTATACTCAACAAATTCATATAATACTTCTGGGAATCTTTAAAAACGTACATCAAGATACAAATAGATACTTCTAATTACTCATTGGTATATGAACAAGAGTCTTACAGTACAACATCACAATATCCTGCCTTTAAAATGTGACAGTTTTTAGATTGCTTCAGAAGAATTCATTTTATATAAAAATAATAGAGTTTTGTGGCATGGAAATATAGTGATTGGCATATAATGAAACATTATTGGAATGATTATGACTTTGCAGATTATATATATATATATATATATATATATATATATATATGCCAATAGGTTTATAAATATCAGATTACCCAACATTGCTTTCCAAAACTCAGAGTATAATATCTGGAAACAGAAGGTATATCAAATTTTCTCTGATTTAAAACTTCCATTTTTCACATTTTATTATAATAGCATTTCCATATGTCTTAATAATAGAGCGTACAATTATCATTGTAAGCTAAGTCCTAAGCTATATCTTACTTCATTAAGCCTAACTTTCCAAATCCATTGTATACTACTAAAAAAGAAAAAAAGCTGATGATTAAATTTTGACACACCACTGGTTGTAGGGGCCCATCCCCATTTCAGAAATGTTAATAAATATATGAAAGAATGTGAATTGTAGAAATAAGGAAATCTGCTATTTCTCCTTTTCTTTTTCTTTCTTTCTGAAAATCAGTTATAAAATTTATGGTTTTTAGAATCCAGGAAGTGTGATAGGTTTAAGCCTGACATTAGTAATCCTGTGACATGAAGTAAATTATTTCACTGCTCTGAACCTTAGTTTTTTTAAATTAATTGAGTAATAAATAAAATAGGTATAAATTAATACCTATTTCACAGACAATTAACTATGTATGATAAATTAATGCAGATTGATGTTTCTCTCCCAAAAGATCGAAACCAAAGAAATTAGGGAAAGAGAAAGAATCAACAGCAGCGATGATGGAAGGCTGCACTTGGCTGATGGGCGTGGTTTTAGTGACTGGGGTGGGAGGACCTGTAAGGGAGCACTGTGAGATTTCTCCTCGCCTTTACATGCTCTACTTGCCTTGGGGAAATAAGCACCTGTCTTCATACTGAAAAAAAAAAGCCAAAGTTAAAGTCAAGACCATTGACATGGTTTTTTTACAGGAGTGATTTCTGGGCAGCACAAAAGCCCAGATTTCTGAAGAGATGCAGAAACAGCTGGGCATGACTGCCCTCCAGGACTACGTCACGGATCCTCCACTATTAAACCCACACGGCTAGTGTAAATGCCAAGAGAACCTCACATTATTGCCTTCCCTAGAAGGAAGAGGGTAAAGAATCACAACATATCCAAATGGAATGATTGGGTTTCTCGGGGCTCTCCAAACTGGGCACCACTCTTTTTCCATTGAGATTATCCGTGCTGACCAAGGCTAGTATATCACCTATATATACCTTATCAGACAGAGGAGCTGAGATCTCTTAGGGAATATGAGCTCAAGAGGAGTTTAAGGATAGTTTTTAAAATATTAGATAAGATTAAAAACAAGAGACATTAGCACTTTAAAATACAGATAAAAAGCACAATAAATGATATGAAGGCATATATAAGTAACATTTAATGACAATAACATAACAGTGAATTAATTAGTAAGCATAAAACATAACAATTAAAGAAAAAGAGAAAAGTTGTACATTAAACAAGGCTGAAGATAAATACTTGAATTGGAAATTCAGATTGAATATGTTCCCTGAAAAAAGCATAAGAGGATAAAAAGAAAGTATAAATATAAAAGTTATGGAAAATGAAAGAAGAATTGTCATTATATAGATAACAGGAATTCCTAAGGAAGACGTAAATAAAATGGAGACAAAATATTTGGAGACAGGGTGGAAATTAGTTTCTTAGAATTAAAACATCATCAAGTTGATGGGGGGAGGGGGGTTGTTACTTTGTGAGGGTGAAAAGGGTAACTATTGCATTGTTCTGTACACCTGAAACTAACAATAAAAATAAATAAATAAATAAATAAATAAATAAAAAACAAAAAAACATCATCAAGTTGAAATGGAGTATGAAATGCTAAACCTCAGAGATAACAGCAAAAGTTTAAACAGTTCCAAAAACTTTAGAGAGACAGAATAGACCATCTAAAAAGAAAAAAGAAATTAGTTTTATAGCATACTCTATATAAACAATATGGATTATAGAAGGTGATAGAGTAATTAATAACTTTTAGTACAGGAGAAAAATAACTTTGAACCCAGAACCCATTTAGCCAATTATTCAAAAGTGAAGATATAATAGCACTATATCTCAGGCATATAAATCCTTAAAATGTTGAATGCATGCTACTCAAATCTGTACCATTAACATAAGTTCTGAGGCAGTGTTCAAAAAAAAAAAAAGCTAGTATAGGAGATGTAGCAAGACATGTAAGAATTTAGAATAATCATATATCTTCCTTAAGGAAGTTATATACTTAAAATTTGACAGAAATCAAGTAAAAAAATTATAAATTCTATTTAGAGTTATTAATAACTAAAATTATATCCAGTTCTTATAAATATGATGGGAGCTAGGGTGGGAAAATCAAATCATAAGAAACTGGGCTAAAATGAAAATGAAGATATCAATTTTTACACAGATATCAATTTTTAACAGTGAGATAAGGTAAAAAAGATAAAGACAAATTTTAGGTAATTGAAATTAGGAAGCAAGGTGGAAAAATACTGTCTAAGCGTATGAATACACAATAAACATAAAAGGGTAAAACTTACTGGTTAAATGTTGGAGTTGGATTAGATTTAAAAAAGAAGAAAATAATAAAATCCAACTATATGATAAAAGAAGAAATGCCTAAACATAAGAAATAGAATGAGGCGCGGCCACTACCCCCAGCCCACCAAGGAAAATGGCGACAGCTGAGGTACTGAACATTGGTAATAAGCTCTATGAGGGTAAAACAAAAGAAGTCTATGAATTGTTAGATAGTCCAGGAAAAGTTCTCCTGCAGTCCAAGGACCAGATTACAGCAGGAAATGCAGCCAGAAAGAATCACCTGGAAGGAAAAGCTGCAATCTCAAATAAAATTACCAGTTGTATTTTTCAGTTGTTACAGAAATAGGTATCAAAACTGCTTTCACCAGAAAATGGGGGGAGACAGCTTTCATTGCACCCAAGTGTGAAATGATTCCAATTGAATGGGTTTGTAGAAGAATAGCAACTGGTTCTTTTCTCAAAAGAAATCCTGGTGTCAAGGAAGGATATAAGTTTTACCCACCTAAAGTGGAGATGTTTTTCAAGGATGATGCCAATAATGATCCACAGTGGTCTGAGGAACAGATCATTGCTGCAAAATTTTGCTTTGCTGGACTTGTTATAGGCCAAACTGAAGTGGATATCATGAGTCATGCTACACAGGCTATTTTTGAAATTCTGGAGAAATCCTGGTTGCCCCAGGATTGTACACTGGTTGATATGAAGATTGAGTTTGGTGTTGATGTCACCACCAAAGAAATTGTTCTTGCTGATGTTATTGATAATGATTCCTGGAGACTCTGGCCGTCAGGAGATCGAAGCCAACAGAAAGACAAACAGTCATATCGTGACCTCAAGGAAGTAACTCCTGAAGGGCTCCAGATGGTAAAGAAAAATTTTGAGTGGGTTGCAGAAAGAGTAGAGTTGCTTCTGAAGCCAGAAAGTCAGTGCAGGGTTGTAGTATTGATGGGCTCAACTTCTGATCTCGGTCACTGTGAAAAAATCAAGAAGGCTTGTGGAAACTTTGGCATTCCATGTGAACTTCGGGTAACATCTGCTCATAAAGGACCAGATGAAACTCTGAGGATTAAAGCTGAGTATGAAGGGGATGGCATTCCTACTGTATTTGTGGCAGTGGCAGGCAGAAGCAATGGTTTAGGACCAGTGATGTCTGGTAACACTGCGTACCCAGTTATCAGCTGTCCTCCCCTAACTCCAGACTGGGGAGCTCAGGATGTGTGGTCTTCTCTTCGACTACCCAGTGGTCTTGGCTGTCCAACAATACTTT